CCAGACAAAAAAATTAGTTCGCGGATTAAGACTACCAATGGAAAAAATTGATTATTGTCGAAATAATTGTATGACATACTAGGGTGTTGACTCTGAATTAAGAGTATGTAGTTTTTGTAATCTTCCAGTATATCAAAGGCGGGGTGAAGGGACTTGTAAAGTACAAAGAGAGAAGGCTTTTAAGAAGATGTATTATTTCCCTCTTGTTCCTCGCCTTTAAAGCTTATATGCATCTAAGGCGACAGCTGAACACATGAGATGGCGTGCTTTGCATGAATATGAGGATGGTATAATGCTCATCCATCAAACTCTGAAGTCTGGAAACACTTTGATAACAATCATCCTGTGTTTGCTGCTGTGATGAGAAATGTGAGATTGGGGCTTTTGTACTGATGGGTTTTAGTCGTTTGGCCATGTAACATCCCTTTCCGGTCCACCCATTAACCCAAATGAACCGAGCCGAGACGCTACAATCTGGTTGAACCTATGTCCTGTCATGCTGATTTCATCCTGTATGCTACATATTATGTCATGTTTTTTTTTATATATATAAATAAATTGGAAAAGTCCTACATAAAACTAAGCTAGGCAAACATCACTCCCAATTAAACTCCGAACTTCCAACATCTCCAAATAATCATCAGAACACAATAACACTAGCTGCTTTAGCTTAGACCATCAATGATTTTTCCAGCATTGGGGGGGGAATGTATCCCTGGGTGGAGTACGGCTGGCAAAATTGCTTGGCTTGTCCTCATTGCATGGAAAACACTAATGCATTTACACTAAAGAATGGAGGTAAACAATGTTGGTTTGATTGTCATCGCAAATTCTTACCAGAGTCTCACCCTTGGAGGAGAAATCGACAATGTTTTAGAAAGAACACGACTATTGTTGAACCCCCGCCACCTGTGAAGTCTGGAGCAGAAATATTACAAGAAATTAAAGATCTGGGGCTTATGAAAGTTACAGAGTTGGGTGCAGATGAGGTAAATAAAATACTTGGCAGGAATAGCGGGTGGAAAAAGCGAAGCATCTTCTGGGATTTGCCATACTGGAGTTCACTTCTTATCCGTCATAACCTTGATGTCATGCACATTGTCATGCCACATAGTAAAAAAAATGTGGTTTGAAAATCTGTTCAACACTGTTCATTGAACATTTGAAGGGAAAACCAAGGATAAGGGCAAAAAGCGAGAGCAGACATGAAGGAAATTTTCGTTCGACCAGAACTCGAGCAATCTGTACTTACTGGTAAGTATCCGGAAAGGACATGTTATTGTTAGATAAACCCCCAAAGGGCAATTATTGTGCGAATGGTTACGATCATTAAGGTTTCCAGATGGCTACTGGTTCAAATATGGGTAGATGTGTGGACATGAGGAAGTATAGATTGTTTGGCATGAAAAGCCATGACTGTGCCAGTTATTCAATGCAAAGATTGATCCCTGTGGCATTCCGGGAATTATTTACCAGGAAAAATTTGGGAAGCAATGACAGAATTGAGTCTCTTTTTCAAGGAATGACGAGACTGTTATCCGATGCGATTGATATGACCAATTAGCGGCGAGAAATCTCAGCTTGTGATGTGCAAGTTGGACGCGGAATTTTTCCACTCGGCTTCTTTTGTTCTTTATGGAACATCTGCCAGTGTTCATTTGCCATATTGAATGTCGTTTAGGCAGGACCGGGTACAATATCGATGGATTGTATCCATGTTGAAGAGTGATTCACTAACATTTCTCATTCTAATTGATTACCATCATTATGGTTGAACTTATACTTATATAATTGGCATTGTAAATCACAGGACAAACCTGCAGGAAGAAAAATTTAAAAAGAATCGTGCGCAAATAAGGGCAAAGGTCAAGGGATCCCATTTGCAATGCAGTATTTGGCGGAAGAAGGCTTCCACATTTCTGTTCCACACTACTAACCAACATGTTTTCACCAAGCATCGGGAAGAGTGCCCACGTAATGATGACGGAGAAGATCGCGTACAATCTGAGTTGAAGGGAAATCTAAAAATTTTCACCTATCCTGGCGCGTACGAATTGGTAAATTCAAAAAAAAAGACGATGACTGATGCAGAGATACAAGCGGCTCAAACCTTATATTTTATTGAATTGCGAAGAGATCACACCATATTACAGTAAGTATAAATAATGTAAACAGTCTTAAACTTTGTAAACGGTTGTTAAATTCATACTTATTGCTAATTTGGTTCGTTGATAAAATAGGAAATATATCAATCTTTTTGCGGCTTCAAAAATCCCAATTTGACTGATACTGCAGTTGATACAAAGCTTGGACACCGAATTTGCCAGAATGGTTCAAATATTATGTAAGTTTACTTTCAATGTACACAACATGGAATGTGTACATTTATTAAATCTCACTCATATTCATTACTAATTTCCCATAGGCTCGAAGCTCGGCGAATCGATATCCCGTAACAGATTTATTTACGATCTTTATTTTTTTTTATTGTATGGCAAAGGGGCATTACCGGTTGCTAATTGCCTTTACTCTGGCTACTTTGGTTAAACGGTTACAAGTTTCACACTGAGGGTTAATGGGAGAAGCGAAAGACAATTGGAACAGCGGTGCCTGTGCATAAAGGGATCAAAACTACAGTGATGTGTCAAACCGATTATGGGAAATTGGTTGGGTTTTTGGGAGTTAGAATATCCAGGCCTACCAATGACCTACCAATGAAGTGCACAATCTTATTCAAATGTGATTGGTTTGATCCTACGCCAAACGTTGGCATAAAGGTTCATCCTAAGTATAATCTAGTAGATATTAATCAAAGAAGAAGATATAAAAGAATGAACCTTTTATGTTGGCAATGCAAGTTGCACAGGTGTACTATGTCCCATATCCATCGTTTAAACAAGATCATTGCGATTGGATGGCAGTGTGTAAAATCAAGGCTAGATCAATTGTTCATGCACTTGAAACCAAACAATCTGCTTCACTCGCAGTATCGCATTTCAAGAAGTTAGGGTTGATACACAACCGATGCAAGTTGTTGAAGATTTAACGGATAGATTGGATGATGAAAGCCGATCTTATGTTGAAATAGGAGCATCGGATGATGAAGAAGACGATGAAGAGGAAGAAGATCAAATCATCATGGGTACCTCAGAGGACGAATATGAAGAAGAGGAAGCTGAAGGAAGGAGGAGGAAGCCAGTATGATATTGAAGACACCTTAAAACTGTAGAGCATGTTTTACTATTTACAAATTCATAAATAGATGTATATATAATATTATTAATGAAGAATTTTAATGTTGTTGACTTTCTTTATACATATTTACCACATGTTCCACAATTCATATAATTGTATATGTTGAAGTAGGAGCATCAGATGACAAAGAGGAAGAAGATCAAATCACCATGGGTACCTCAGAGGACGAAGATCAAGAAGAGGAAGAAGAAGAAGAAGAAGAGGAAGAAGATGATGATGAAGACAAAAATACTTAATGCATTCTGTATTATGGATAATAAATTAATAGATGTATATATAATACTATTAATGAAGAATTTTAATGTTGTTGACTTTCTTTATACATATTTACGTTTGGGGCTTCATCCTCTGCTCAGCGACCAGTACTGCCGCCATCACTTCCTTCTACTCCTTCCTCTTCTACCCCCATTCTCTTCTACCCCCATTTCTGGACTAGTACAGACTCCACCAGCTGGACGGTCACCTACTGTGCAAGGTAATCATAAATGTCATAACTGTCATTTTAATTATATATTAATTATCTAAAAATTTATAACATTTGTCACTTCTTTTGCAGCTTCCATCAGATTTCCACGTATCACCCTGTATCACCCTCAATTTGGTAGCGGGACAGTAAGTACTTATTCAAATTTTCTGCAGGCATATTTTGTTCAGATTGTGATGCTTTTGTGTAATTATATTTCACTACGATTTTTTTTTCAGCATATATCCATCTTCTCGAGCAGCGAGACAAATTTTGAGGATAATCAAGCTCCAGCTACATAAAGAAGGATACACATGGGATGCCGTACCACAAGAGGCGAGAGACTTTTATTGGGAGGAGTTTCAGGTACTATTTGGTTTAAGTTCTATCATCATTCAATGTTTACAATTCAAGATACATCCTTAGTGTTGAAACGCTATATTTCATTTTTTGCAGAAGCATTTCATATGGACGAGCCCATTACGGCTATGCTGAAAGTAGCCTGGGAGAAGATATGCGCCGATCGATACGCTGACTTCACCTATAGGATGAGAAGAAGCGGTAAGAAACAACGGTGCGTGTCTCAGGAGATATGGGAGAGCTGGCAAAAGGCTTGGGAGGATCCTGCATTCAAGAGAAAGCGGGAGATGTTTGCACAAAACAGGCGCAGTGAGACTGGCGGGGATGGAGCAGGACCTTCGCGACACACAGGCGGATCTATATCTGCTATAGAGACAGCTCGATTATTAGTAAGTGAACTAGTCCCTTTGCAAGAAACTGATGTTTAATGAAAGGACAATATATATATTAATATATCATGCATAAAAATTCATTACAGGCTAAAGAATTAGGTCGTGAGCCCACACCGATGACAGACGTGCGGTGAGCGTCAATGTAAGTAACAATGAAGAATATTTACATTTACCCTCTAGTCGTTGCGAAATGTACAAAGTTCAATATAATAAAGCTATGTAAGTAACAATGAATACTATGTACATTTTTACCCTTAAATCATTGCGAAGATGTAACCAAAAGTTCAATATAATAAAGCTTGCAATTGCATTGATTAATTTAATCTTTTTGTTTTCAGGAGAAACTATACTCTATACTACAGCTCGGGAGCGTATTGTTACTTCTCAGACCGATGAATCCGAAGCTGAGTCAAGAATTGACGAGGTAGCACTTTATCTCGAGGCTGTCGGGGGCGAGAAGAAGAGTAAGGTATACGGCATCGGGTCTCAGGCATCACAGTTTTACACTAGGTCAGCAGCTCACGCTTCTACAGCCAGCGCAGCACGACAGCCGGAGCACAGCGACTCACACTGTGATGATGATATATGGGCTCAGCTTGCTGATCCGCAAAGACAGATTGCAGAGCTTAGAGCGCATGTGATGCGGCTGTCTGGTGAGCACCGTGCTGGTACTTCTCCCTCTGATCTTGCTCCTGCTACAGACCGACATGTTTCGACGTCTTCGAGGTCTCCGCAGCAGCCACTTACCAGGCTCCTGATCCCGATGTATGCTGCAAGACGATGTACCTTGGTCACCCCTCCTGCGCTACATCACAATCCAGCAGGTATCTCCGGCGATCCGACTTGCGGGGACATCGGGAGATCCGACATCGGATCCTGCAGATGAGCAGCAACATAGATTTGATTTTGGACCTTTTTAGTTTTTCATTTGTATTTTCCTATTTCAATTTGTTCAGTACAATAAAAATTACATTTTTATATTATTTTTGAATTGCGTGTGTGATATATATGTATATATGTCAATTTTCACAGGTGCGGAAAAATTTTGGTTTTATAATATTATTTAATTTTTTTTTTTTTCAATTTTGCGACCGATTTGCCACTGATTTGATACCAACAATAAAAATTTTGAATTTACAATTTGCGACCTATTTGCGACCGATTTAAAAAAATTGCGACAGATTTTTTGCGACCAAATTTGTGACTGAATTTCCAATTAAACCACGACCAAATTTCCAATTAAACCACGACCAAAAAATTGCGACCGATTATTCAATTTTGCGACTGATTATATCGGTCTCTAATTTGCGAACGATTCTCTTATCGGTCGCAAAATTGATTTGCGATCAGGTTTTTTGCGTCGGTCGCAAATCGGTCGCTAATCAAAATTAGCGATCGATATGAGCCATCAAATCGGTCGCAAAATGGCGTTTTTTTGTAGTGTGGGATATAAAGAATTATCTTCAGAATGAAGCCTACCCGGAGGGATCCACCAAGACTGATCAACGGACATTGAGACAGTTAGCATCCTGAAGTGATTCAAGCTATAAAGGACAACTGTGATGAATGTATCGAACAAGTTATTAATCCTGTTTTTTGCTTTTCTGATTATTGTTTTGAGAACGATTTTGATGGATTCCCTTTATTATTTCAATCAATGGAAGTGAATTTTGACTACTTGTTTTCTTGTTTTCCTGATTGTCACGTTCATGGCATTGATTATACCACTAACTTTAGTTTAGATATCTTAATTTAATTTGACTTTTAAATATAATGTAATAGAGTGTAAATTAATCATTCAAGTTTTCATCTTTTATCTATATGCGTTAAAAAATTTATATGTAGAAAATGTTCTATAGATTTATCATAAGAAAATATATAATAACTTTCAAAATGATTTGTATAAGGATTGATTCTGAGATTTTACTTATATTCATGTCAAAATTCTGAGATTTTACTCAGTTTTTACTTCATTTAACTTTAGTTTAGATATCTTAATTTAATTTGATTTTTAAATATAATGTAATAGAGTGTAAATTAACCATTCAAGTTTTCGTCTTTTATCTATATGCATTAAAAAATTTATATGTAGAAAATGTTCTATAGATTTATCATAAGAAAATATATAATAACTTTCAAAATGATTTGTATAAGGATTGATTCTGAGATTTTACTTATACTCATGTCAAAATGTATGTTTATATGTCATTTGAGTTATAACTATCAAGTGTGACACAATCAATGGTTACTTAGTTTAATTTAATTTCATATGTAACTTAATTTAATTTGAATTAGATTATCTAAATTTAATTTGATTCAAGTGTGACCAAGTTGATTTATTTAATTGTTACTTCATTAAATTTCGATTTAAATGTCTTAATTTAACTTAATTGTTAGATGTGACTTTAAAATATATAGTGCACTCAAATAATAGTAGCCTAATGGCAAAGAGTATTTGTGGATTAATTACAATGGATTAGGTTGTAGATTTAATCCTTTGTTTGCTTTTCTTTTACTATTTCTTTACCATTTTGCCACATCACCTGTAAACAAAATACTTATTTTCATGTTTCGTAGTTAAATTTTCAGTGTATGTTCAACATAAACTTTCTATCACAATCATTCTTATTTTTCTAATTCATAATTAAATTTTTAATTCATCTAATTTAACAATCTTTATACACAAAATTTTAGAAAATATTCACAATTTTTTTATGCATTTCACAACTTAATTATCCTTTAATGCACTTATTAGAGGAGTGAAATTCATATGTAGAACTAGTTTTCAAGTATAACAAATATGACTTATTTAATTGTTACTTAATTTAATTTTAATTTAAATGTCTTAATTTCATTTGATTCCAAACATAACAAAGTGTAGCTTAAAAAAAATAAAAGTTAAAGGAAAATTAAGTGGCATATGATTATTTATGTCTCATAAATTACTAAGACACTTGAAAGAATATGATTTGTTAATTGATGAGGTAAAAACAAAATAATGTCCTGCATGTGCATTGATAATCTCATCCATTTAATGCTTTGTTTAGAGCTATAAATGATGAAAGAGAAATATTTAAAAATTCAAATTTTAAATGTTTTTCTTTATGTCAAACCTACCAATTTTAAGTGAAGATGAAATTGACATTTGACATATTAAATCTGAATAAAAATATCATTTTAGGTGTCATAATTTTGGACCACCATGAGCCAAAAAACTTTTCCCTTTCTCTAAATAAAGATAAGAGGGAGTCTTATTATAATACTTTTGTTTGATGCAATTAATTTGCTTCTCTTAGTTGGAGACAAAATACTGTAGCTTTGCTTTAAATTTGAAGTTTTTGTTTTGTAATTTGCATTAATTACTGTTTAATAATAGTGAACAATAGCAAGTTTCCTCAAAATCAACTTTTCAACATTAATGCCAATAATAGAATGGGTCACCATTTTTAACTTCTTAGTAATGTCCTAAGCATTTCCTTAATAAATCCAATAAAAACCATAAAATTTTGGATTAATTACTTTTTTTACTAGCTTTATTTTGGATTAATTACTTTTTTTACTAGCTTTTGTTTTAAAAAAAAATAAAGACCCCATTAGCCCGTTGAATTATAGAATCAAAAGCTGATTTATTTACAACATCAAATTGTTGGTTTGGTGGCTCAATCCCACATCGGGATTTTTACAAGGGAGAGGGCATCCTCTCCTCTATAAAAGGAGGCTACCTCCTTCAATTCTAATCATCCCAACTTGTCTTCCAATACCTAGTGGGTTAGACAAGTTTCTCTCCTCTTTCAATTTGTATATTTCTTTATTGAAATATAAATTTGGTAGTGTCCGAGGACGTAGGCAAAATTGACCGAACCTCGTTAAAATTCTGGTGTTCTCTCTTATTTATTGCTTTGTCTTTATTTATTAATAGCTAGTGTTGGGCAAAAATATTTTTTGGTGGTTATGTCTGATTAATTGCATGTCTAGGGTAAATTCTGTGTCAAACGACACCGAATTAGTCTAAGGCAAGTGGATTTTAAGTGAGGGACGTTTGTGACTCCTCCACTTATCTGGAAATTTACTGGCATAGTTTACTCAGCTACTAGTTAATTCACAAAATTATTTTTAATTTGGTGGAAAAAGCCCAAAATTTCACAACAATTGGGGTATCAGAAATTTCCACAACAATTGGTATCAGAGCCAAGGTTACTAAGTATTCACTGTGGTTGCAGCATAGTCTGATCTGCCACATAAAAAAGGTTCCTTGATTGTGTTCCGCATTTTGAAAATTGATTTTATAGCTATTAAATATTTAAAGCAGAAATGGCAGACGGAAGGAAAAATACCACATCTGCTACAACATCAACTTTAGTAAGAAATGTGTATCAAATGCAAGATTTACAGTGGAGCTTTTCGATGGCACTAGTCATTTCGGCATGTGGCAGAGTGAACTTCTAGACACTCTCTTTCAGCAAGGTCTAGATGTTGCTGTTGAAGAAGAGAAACCAAACGAGATGGAGGAGAGTGAATGGAGGACCATCAATCGTTTGGCATGTGGTACAATGGTCGTGTCGTTCTAGAGAGCAAAATATGCTTTCTCGAAAGAAAACTTCTGTAAAAACAAATTGTGGAAGGCGTATTTGGAGGATAAATTTTTGAAGAAAAACAATCGAGAACAAAACTCTTCATGAAAAGAAATTGTTATCGCTTCAAATTATGTTTCCTTGTACCACTATGAGATGAACACATCACAAAGTTTAATCAGTTTGGTGGGCTGATTTGGTTAATTGGGGCTGATTTGTTTAATTTGGATGTGACATTTGCAGACGAAGATTTGGCATTGTTGTTGCTGGCATCTCTTCCTGATGAATTTGACCATCTTACAATCACTCTAATTCACGGGAATAAAGATGTGACTTTCAGTGAAGTTTGTGCTGATCTTTACAGCCATGAATTGAGAAAGATAGAAAAGAAGGAAAAGGCAACTGAAGTAGAAGCTCTGGTGGTTGGAGGCCGTTCACAAATCCAAAAGAAAGGGGAAAAGAAAAGTAGATCCCGTTCAAAAGCCAGAGTTGAAAAAGATGCGTGTGCCTTTTGTCGTGAGAAAGGTCACTGGAAGAAAGATTGTCCAAAGCTGAAAGCCAAAGGCAAAGCTATTATTGATTCAAACATAGCTGGGTATGATGAAGCTATTATTGATTCAAACATAGCTGGGTATGATGATGCAGACTCAGACTTCTCATTAGTTATTATGGCATATATAGACAATTCATCAGCAAATTTGACAAGTTCTGGTGAGGTATGGCTGCTAGACTCTGCATGTTGTCACCATATGAGTCCCCATCGGGACTGATTTTTTGACTTTAAAGAACTTGAAAATGAAGTTGTCTATACTGCAAATAATGTTCCTTGCTTCACAAAAGGGATTGGTTCAATCCGTTTGAAGAACCATGATGGGTCAATCAGGACCTAACTGATGTTTGATATGTACCGAGTTTGACAAAGAATCTCATTTCAGTGGGAGTCCTAGAATCAAAAGGACTCACTATAATTGCGAAAGATGGAATGATGAAAGCCATCTCGGGTGCACTTGTGGTGATGAAAGGAGTTCGGAGAAGGAATAATTTGTAAAAGGAGTTCGGAGAAGGAATAATTTGTACTACTATCAGGGTAATAAAATTATTAGATCGATAGCAGCAGTTGTTTCTAGTGATGACAAAGAGTTGTTTCCAACCAGATTATGGCATAGGCGTTTGGGACATGCAGGTGAAAAATCCTTCAAAAGATTGTCAGATCAGGGATTATTGAAAGATGTCAAAACCTACAAGTTGGACTTCTATGAGCATTGCACCAAAGGAAAGCAGTTAAGAGTGAAATTTGGCACCGGAATCCATAATA